CCCCGGATGGGAATCTGAGATGTCAGTGGAAAAATGTGAGTGAATCTAATAGACACTGACTCCACCAAACAAGAATAATGATGTCTCACATGTTAAAAAAGAGAGCGCTGATGACAAAAATAACATAAAGCAGGAGAGGAAAATTAAGAAGTACGCTAAGATCCTTGTGTTGGTTCAAGGGATAAAAATTCCAATTTAGACCTTAACAGTGTTAACCCTCGAAGTAGTAAAGAGGATGAATAGAAAATTTTAATTGGAAAGAAGAGCAGAAATTAAGCCAATGGCAGGGCAGATGGAGGACACAGAGCAGGATGGTGCACAGTAACAGAACAAAGCGGAGCGAGTGCTCCTGCAGTCAGTCACTTACGTACATGTTACTCAGAAGAGATGCCCGAACACGTAAGAATAGTGTACGCATAACATATTATACATACTATAATATGCACAAAAAGTAAACTCCTTACAGAAGAAAGCTGATGTACTGATACCTTACAAAAGAGATTTTAAAGCAAAGGCATTATTAGAGATAAGGGTGTAGAACACCACACCCAGAAACTATAGCACATATATTCTTTCAAAGTACAAATACATCATTACAAAAATCGACCATTTCATCACAGGTTAAAACATTTATGTTTTATAATGTCAGCTTTTATACTCGGGGTGCCTGTGCAAGTTTGCTACTAGGTGTATTGCAGGACACTGACATTTGGGGTACAGATGATCCTGTCACCGAGGTCATGAGCACAGTACCCAAAAGTTAGTTTTTCAGCCCCAGCGTCCCCCACCAGTCATCCCAGTATCTCGTGTTAGCGTCTTTATGTCCATGTACTTTCAGAAACTTAAATCATGTTGAGTATGTTCCCTGACCACAGTGCAGCTGAGGCTAGAAATACAATTTTTTAAAAACTAGAAATATTTCCCACGTTTGAAAATTAATAAACAGTTCTAAATAACCCATTAACCAAAGACAAAATTAAATGGAAATTAGAAAAAAACTTAGAATTAATAGCGAAAGTACATATAAAAACTTGTGGAATGTGAGCAAAGGAATATTTGCACCTGCCATGCTAGGTTTTCTCTGCAGGATCAAACATATGCGTATGGAATTCCTTTGAGATTCTTCTTATATTCACATATCCTAAGCAGTTACTTTCTTTCTTGCTATATTACCAGTTACCATTAAGACTGGAGCAGTAAGTGTGAAGGGCCACCCTCACTGAGATTTATTTGGTATATATGCAAAATTGACAAGTCTGTTTTTTTCAGTACGTGCCTACTGTGGTCAGTGCATGTGCTGAGCTCTCGAGAGGGTTTAAAGGTGGGACATAATGACAGATGCAAAACCCTTTAGAAACACTGGATGGTGCGGGGCCGATGGCTCACACCTGTAATCCCAGCACTTTGGGAGGCAGAGGTGGGCCGATCATGTGGTCAAGAGTTCGAAACCAGCCTGACCAACATGGTAAAACCCTGTCTCTACTAAAAATACAAAAATTTGCCAGGCATGGTGGCACACACCTGTAATCCTACTCAGGAGGTAGAGGCAGGAGAATCGCTTGAACCCGGGAGGCAGAGGTTGCAGTGAGCCGAGATGGCACCATTGCACTCCAGCCTGGGTGACAGAGCGAGACTCCAGCTCAAAAACAAAAACAAACAAAATAAAACACTGGACGGTATTATCCGTGTTAAGCACACACTCCCAGCCCCAGGAACTGACGTTCTAATGAAGGAGATAGGACCTGTATGCCATAGTGACCAAGGCAGGAGGCGGCCTGTAGGTGACATCAGAATTGGACCTCAGGGTCTCTGTCATCAACAGGGCCACTTATGAGTCACCCAACAGCTGTTCAGAGCGTATGAGCTCTATTTCTATCTCAAGTGTTTGAAGGAAAATGTACTTTAAAAAGTCCTAATGATGCTGTCTTTGGAAGTTTATCTTGAGCCACCAGTAACTCATTCATAGAACATCAGGACAGTTGGGACTCTTCCAGGTGTCTTGTAGCGAGAGATACACTCACGTGTAACAGATCATATGCACACACAGGTGATACATTAACACAAATGCATATAAATACACACATGTATTTATATGTGGCTTGCACACTTATTCTGTTCCTCTCTCAAGTGGCTTCTGAAAGCTTGCTCACAGTGATACCCACTGCTTGGAGCTGGGAGGTGATACCTCCAGGAATGATAACTAATGCTGTGTTAAATAACTTTGCATGTTTAAAAAAATGTCATGGGTAACTTCTCTGACTGTCGTTCTTAAATCTGATTGGGCCTCAGAATCACCTGGAGGGCTTGTAAAACACAGATTGCAGGCATCCCCCCAGACTGTGGCTTCCGCAGGCCTGGGGCGAGGCCTGAAGCTCTGCTTTTCTCACAAATTCCCAGGAGCTGAGGCTGCGGGTCTGGGCCCCCGTTTAAGAATAAACAGCTGGATCATATTGATCATTTCATTCAATCGATCAGCCGTTCCAAATAGTATTTTTATGTTCAAAACTAATCTCAGAACATACCTCATAACTTGAAACACTTCATAAGGTGTGGATTAGAATGTGACCTTTTCCTGAGGTATAATTTTGGAGGAAGAAAAGAGCTTGCTTTTCAGGCAGAATGTGGAAAGTATCTCACACTTAAAAAAAAAAAAAAAAAAACACACACACACAATTTATAGAAAACCTGAATTATAAGGTATCAATTGGAGGTAACTGTATGTTTCCAAGTAATTTTTCCTTTTATGAAATATAGAGAAATCTTCTACTTTCAATAATTTATTTAGATATTATTAGATATTTGCAAGGCCAAGGAACAAAGAAAATTAAAATTAAAGCCTTAGGAAACATTACCAATTGAAGACCATAAATTCAGATACAGCTGCTTGGCAATTATAATTACATTCAGAGTGAAAGAGAATTTGACTCATAAATAGAAAAGCAGCTTCCACCAGGCTTCCAAGTACGGCTAATCCCAAAACACAGGTGCCTGGAAGATCCTCAGCCACCCACTTCATTCAAACCCCAACCCTTGTGGACCGCCTGCTGTGTTCACAGAATGTTCTTTACTGAAAAACGACCTCTCATCCTTGAAGCCAATACTCATTCTTCTAACATCCCTGGGACAAAGGCAGTTCAGTCTCCACAGCACTCAACCCCGCGCTGTCTCAGGATCTTTCTGCAGAAAGGAGAGAATTGGAAGAGAACTCTGTGTCCTCGAAGGCATGTTCTGAAGTCTGGTGACTTAAATACACACGACATTCTGCCAGGTGGCTCCACATTAATAAAAGAAAAAGTGAACATCAGATCTCCAGGAGACTAGAATGCTTGAAACCTGAGCAGTCAGGTACCGTCCAAAATGCATTTTCTCCATCACACATCTAAATGTGCGAGATCCGCCCCCTCCCCAGGCCTTGTTCATTTCATCCTTCTCCTTTGTGCTTCAATCCCAATTCCATGAAGCAGATGTAATGGCTAAGTCAGGACACTTAGTGACTGAAAGTCGGAGCTTCGGTCTCATATGGCAGTTCAGGTGTCCTGGCTTGCAGGCAACATGCCAGCCTGGGGGCTCAGGAACTGTCTCCCTCTGTCCAGGCCACCTCCTGCGCCTGGAGAGCACCCAGAAGACACACAAGCCATGTCCATCTGGAAGAACTGGTTCACGTGGCCCCACTGGGCACGGGGGAATGGGAGATGCCATCTCTGGATGAGCCACAGCTCTGCACTTGAAAGGACAGGCAAGCGGGCAGGAAGCACGGCTCAGAGCCGCCACGGTCACAGCCTTTACACAACTTATTCTCCCTCACTTTACCTCCGTCTTCACATTTCCTAAGAAGGAGCTGCTGGGGTGGCCCTGAAGGAGCTACCTCTCTGTGCCTCAGGTGACGCAGGTGGCTGTCCTGTCATGACTCAGACCTTTGGAGTGTATGACCGCTTGAGCCCGGGAGGCCGAGGCTGAGTGAGCGCTGATGGCATCACTGCACTCCAGTCTGGGTGACAGAGCGAGATGCTGTCCCCACAAAACAAAGCAAAAAATGCCAAAAACCCGAAAGACTGTATTCAATTAATAAATGTTGAAGTGATAATATTTTGGATATGTTGGGTCAAATAAAATATTAATTTCACCTTTTAGAAAACTTCATGTAACTCCCAGAAATTTTTACATTACTTATGTAGCCCACAGTATGTTTCTGTTGGACAGAGCCCATCCTGCAAAATTGGAATTTTTCTCTCAACTTTTCATTTCAAATGTACTCCTGCTAATGTTTGAGGCTCACGACAAGTAAACAGCCGGGGAGGGAAACAAATACACGCTTTTCCCCTACCCTCCTAAATTCTTCAGCTTAACGAGAGAAAAGTACACAGATTTACTTAGTAAGTCCCGTGTGACACGGAAGCCTTCCTAAGGCAGCAGAGCCCTGAAGAGACAGTGAGGCCCGGGCACTTTCTACACTAGGTTGAATGAAGAAGGGGAGGCTGTGGGTAGGCGTGACGGGACAAGGGGAGTGAGGCCTGAGCGCTTCCTACTCCAGGTTGGATGAAGATGGAGGTCATGGGGAGCAGGCGAGGAGGGTCGGGGGTTGGTGGGGAACCGCAGCAAGGCGTGTGCACGTAGCCGCCTCCTGGCTGCCTCTGTCTTCAGAGATGAGGGCGCCTCTCAAAGGAGAGTCCTGTGACCCACTTTGGGGATGGGAGAGAGGTCCCTCCTGCGGCTGTCATTTCTCAAATTCCTTCGGGAAGGAATGTTTTTTCCTTAAAATACTCAGTGTGCCAAGGTGCCACATTTTGGGGTAGTGCATTCCAAACTCCATCAGATCGGGGTTCTTGTAGTAATCTGTCCAGATAGATGATCTGGATTTATAGTGAAGTAAAATAACAACATGTCTATTTCCCTAAAAAGTATTATCCAAAGACACAGATGAGGAAGGTTAGCAAAACAGATGGTCAGGCTCAAGAACGCCAAGCTTGGGTGTGAGCTCACCCCTCTCCCTCTGCCCTCAGTTCACAGAAATCAGTCACCGCATCCTGTGCTCATACAACACCAACATCGAAGAGCTCTTTGCAGAAATCGATCACTGCTTGGCAGTAAATCGAAGTGTTCTTCAGCAGTTGGAAGAAAAATGTAGCCATGAGATCACAGAAGAGGAATGGGAAAAAATCCACGAACAGGTAGGCTTGGGCTGGCAGCCCGGCCAACCAGCCGACTCAGCTGCAGCCCCAGAGTCTGTGGGGAGCTGCATGTCAGGGGAGGGCAAGGACTCATTTTGGGGAGCCCAAGAGTGTCAGGCCCGGGGTAGCCTCTGCCCTGGCTGCACCTGCCTGCACCTGTGGCAGGACCTTCGTCATGGGCTTTAGGGTGATGGCCAAGGTCCCTTCGGTTTGAAATTCTGGAAGTTCTTGTTGGATGATGCTGTTTTGTGAACTGTGAAAACACCAAAGGGAACACATCACCTTCCCAAAGGTTTCCGGAAAGTTCCAGCCAAAAACGACCTTGAGATGACCCAAAAGCCAAGGTGGGGAAAGCTTACTTTAAAAGTTATAAAATTAGGAAATTTGGAAAAGTTCAGTAGTTAGTCAAGTGTTTTGAAAAACAGTCCTCTTGATTACTTAATTAAAAGGAACTATATATTATCAATGTTCAGCATTTTAGGAAGTATTTTTGTTTTAAAATTGCATATCACAGGTGGGTTACTATTATCTCACTCCACGGCTCCCAGGAGTAACAGAGTGTATTATAAAATTCATGTGATTAACACGGAATCAAACTTCTGCATGTTTAGAAGACACACGTCTTAGGACACACGGTTCTCATTTCAGTTTGAGTAACTTTCTGCTAAACTTTGAGCTAAACTAACCTGCGTGGCCGCCTCCTGTCCCGTGTGCTGCAGGCTCTGCGCCGGGAGGCCCGCGACTGCTCCATCTGCCTGGCCCCTCTGTCCCCTGCCAGCAGTCAGTGCGTGGGCACAGGCCAGCGTTCCCGAGAGACAGCACTCCTGTCCTGCTCACACGTGTTCCACCACGCCTGTCTGCTCGCGTTAGAGGAGTTCTCCGTAGGAGATGGGCCTCCTTTCCATGCCTGTCCTCTCTGCCGCTCCTGCTACCAGAAGAAAATTCTTGAATGTTGAATTCATATTCAGGGAAAGTAAGAGAATTCTGAGGAAAAAAAGTTGACCACAATTTTGGATGAACTGCATGGGTTCTGTTTTAAGTACTACAATGTAATCTGTTCCCCAGAGAAATAAGCTATTGGTAGTTGTAGGAAATCTAAGTATATTTTAAAAGCTGACAGTCCTTCTAATTTTAGTCTTTTGTCTCTAAAAAGTAAATTTCAAATTCATGGGTTTAGTCACTTGAAATAAATGAACGGTGCGAAAAATGGGCTTGCCTACTTTTAAGGATGGAGGTTAGGATATAACTAGTATCTGACAAGCTAGGAAACTAAACATGTTTCTTAAGTTCCAAATGTTTCCGTTAATATTTTAAGTATCTTAAAGCCTTTGCCATTCCTAATATTTGTTTTGTAATAATTGCTATATTTGTGTAGTAAAATATAAAAATATTCAGTGGCATTCAACATCAAAAAACAGAAATTTTAATGTCTTAGAGCAATAAAGACTGTTTTAGTTCATACATTTTAAAAAAGTGAAGCTTTTTGACTAAGAGTTGTTTTTGTCGCTGGTTTACAATTACTGGGAGCTTGGTTATTTACAGTAACCAATTACAGTCTCATCAGTTAGGTTGCCCCTAGCCGAGTAACAGATAAAACCCCAAATCTCAGTGGCTCGCCGAAGACAAATGTGATTTCTGAGGTGTCCACCCCATGTCAGCCATGGGGTGAGGCTGAGGGTCTGCCATGGTGACCGTGGCTCCTTTTGTCTTGTGACATGAAGGCTCCTTTGCCCCAGAGTCCCCTAGTGAATCCTCTCACGGCCGGTGGAGGAGGAGGAGGGGGATTTTCCAGGCCATTCTTGGAAGTGGCGCACATCGCTCCAACCACAGGTAACTACAAGGGGAAGGAAACAGCAGGGTGAGCCCCAGAGGAAAAAGCCAGCCAGGTGCACACACGGCACAGGCTCAGAAGAATCCGCCGTCTAATGTGTGAAGAAACAGGAAAATTTCCATCACCTCATCACTTAGAAAAAGTACTCTGATATGTTTTGTGATTTACACATAAAACTACATAGGTATGTACAATTTATGAGTAAATATGCATATATTGGGATGCGCTCTAACATTTTTTTATTGCACATCACTGCTTTATTATACTGATCTGGAGAAAGGATTTAGTACAGTTATGCTCAAAGGAACACCGGACCCATGCGGCAGAGCCAAGCAACTAGAACGTGATTCAGAAATCAGTGCGACTCTTGGACAGGACCAAGAGGCATTTCACTGCCACAAAACAAGGTGTGGGGGGACTCGGAAACACACAGCAGGAAGCACTCCTGCCCCTCAGAGGTCAAGGAGCTGATCCCATATTGGTATGAGGAATGGCTTATTTTCTGATGACCATATGGGGTACTATTTCAACCGCCACAAGAAACCCCAAAAGGATTATTGTTTTGTACTATTTATATATACTATACTTTCTTTTTTTATATAAAAGTAAACGTAACACCTAAACTAAATTCAGGATTTATCCCAACCTTCTAGAGCCAGCTTCCCTGGGGTCAGGGAGGAAACAGCTGTCACAGCACCATGCAGGTTACATTCATCTGCCGCTGGAATGACTAGAGCCCCCAGGCAGTGGCCTGACTGCCAACGAGCAGAGCACTGGCTCCTGGGGGCAGGCAGGCCCTCTTGCTTCTCTTCATTGGTCACGACTTAGTGTGTTCCTCCCTTCAAGTCCTTAGTAAACAAAGCACTTGCAAAAGCCCATCACTACCTTTCAACTCTCTTGGCTGAGGGGAGCCTTTCTACAGCTTGGACTGAGAACCTGTGCCCTAGAAGTGCAATTCTGACTAGAATGTGTGAAGGGAGTGGGTACAGGAGACAAACTGGCTAAAATGAAAATGGGAGCCACCAGTCCCCATCTGCAGCTACAACTCAAGATGTCTACAGATGTGGTCAGCGTGACATGTGCAGGAGGGAGGGGTAGAGGGGTGCAACAGGCAGGGAGGGTGCTCCTGCGGACAGCAGCCTGCCCGCTGGCCTTCACTTCTTGGTCTTCTCCTGGGCAGCCACAGCTTCCATGGCTTTACACACGGTCTCCTCATCCCCCAGGAACTGCATGGGCTTGACGAGTTTCAAGTTCTTGTCCAATTCATAGACAATTGGAATACTGGTTGGCAGGTTCAGCTCCATGATAACCTCTTCAGAGAGACCCTCCAGATGCTTGACAATGCCCCAGAGGCTGTTGCCATGGGTTGCAATCAGTACCCATTTCCCCTCCTTGATCTGGGGAACTATTGCTTCATTCCAGACGGGCAGAGCTCTAGCAATCGTGTCCTTCAGACTCTCACAGGAGGGTGGCTGATATCTGTGAGGTCTGCATACCTCCGATCCTCACTGATGTTGCTGTAGAAAGGATGGTCGGGCTCCATCGGAGGTGATGGGACATAACAGGAGCGCCTCCAGATCTTCGCCTGGGCCTCACCATGCTTGGCAGCAGTTTCTGCTTTATTGAGACCGGTTAGACCCCCCCACAGTGCCACTCACTGAGGCGCCAAGTCCTCACTACTGGCAGCCACATCTGATCCATGGCACCCAGCACTGTCCAGAGGGTCCGGATCGCTCTCTTCTGCACTGAGGTGAAGCAGATGTCAAACTCACAGCCAGCATCTCGCAGCACCTGCCCGCCGCGCTTCGCCTCCTTGTGGCCTGCCGGGCTCAGGTCGGCGGCGCACCAGCCACTGAAGTGGTTCTCCAGGTTATGCGCTCTCGCCGTGCCCGTCAGCACCAGCTTGTAGGCGGCCACGGCTGCAGGGTGGGGTGCGGCACCGACTGGGCACTCTAACACTTTTTAGTGACGTATACCATCACAAAATGTGGAGACTAGTTTGGAGAATGCTTTAAACAATGAGCGAGCACTTTTATCGTAAGATAGCAGAGGGAAACTGAATCACTGAACCTCAATTTTCCACAAGCTGACATTTCTCTCCCCATACTGTGACAGGCAGAGCACAGCAGGTGTCAGAGGCTGGGCAGTCCAATTCCGCGACCTCAAACTCTGGATCTGGACAGAGAGTCCCACGCGGATCACTGAGTGATGGGAAGAGCCCAGGAAAGGTCGTGCCTAGGGCTGTGCCCAACACCTCTTCCTGGGCTTTCTCCATATCCGTGAGCCATCCCATACACTCCCGGAAACACCTTTCCTGTTTATGCTGGCAGAGTCCACTTCTTTTCTTTGCAGCCAAGTGCAGTATTTTGCTGATGCAGGAATGAGTGTTAGTTGTAGGCAGCAGATACTCAGGAAAATCGGTGGGGTGAGGCGGGAATGGTCATCTAACTTCACTGAGGATGAGGGCAGTGAAAACCCTGTAAGTACTGAGGAGTGGTACGGAGCATCTTGTGGCAGTTAACAGAAAATCAGGTAATTTTCTTACTAAAAAGTGGCCATGGAATGGCACGCCCATCGCTGGCTCAGGAGACCATGTTGCAACCACAGAATGATAAAACGGACCTGAATGAAGCAGCTGCTTCTCTGAACAATTTGGAGATAATGACACATTGTCAGGTCAAGTCATGAAACAATGCAAGCTTTTATACAATCACACCACAGCCTCGTCAGGGCTCTTCTATGAAAATGGGGGCACTGACCCATGAATTCATGGGAGGACTTGGAGGCAGGGAGCCTGGCCTGCAGCTCTCACGGCGGCTTCCCGGCCCGCTAAAGCAGTCCCTATGGAATGTGGCCATTCCTCCCTCAACAGGCTGGAACCCACCTGTCTGATAGTCCCCTTGCAAGATGCAGCCACTTCTCGAGCCTTCTCACACATCCCTTTATGCCTTTAAATCCACTTCATCAGGAGCTCAGCATGTTGTGTGTCAGGGAAAATCATTAAATCAGTACCAAGTCTAGACAGAGAATTCTTACAGAACTGTGGGACTGGAGGCATTTGTTAACAACAAAGGTTATAATCTAGAATGAGTATACCTGTCATGAATCTTTATAAACCAAGTAATATAATCGTAAGGTACATGAATGAAAAAGAAACTGAAAACCTAAAATAAAGGTTTAAAACCTAAAAAAAATGGGACTGTGATTGTACTGGCCAGTTCATCTGCCCACCATTGCCTGCAAACGTCTGCAGCTTTCTGAGTGGCGCTCCTTATCTGTCAAATGCAGCTGTGCATTTTCCACTTCACAAGGCAGTCCTGAGGGCGACTGTGGGAGGACAGAGCACTTGCCCCTCCACCACACCCCAGGCCCCTCTCACCACGCCCACTTCGAAGTCTCTGATGAGACTCCACAGTCAAGACAAAAAGAAAAGAAAAGGTGAATCATCTTGAGACTGAAGCAAAGCAAGGCAGCAGGGAGGAAGTGAACGGGGAGGAGGAAGACAACATCCACTTGCCATTTCGTCCTCTAACTCTGCTGTGGAGTCCACACAGAACAACTGCGATGACTTCGAGATGCTATAAAGAAAAGCTGCAGAGTCAGTACCCAGCTACGGCAGCATCACATACACTTGGTTCTCGAGTCAGGGTTTGCAGGCGGCACCATTCATTCATAACAGCTTTTCAAAGGAAAGGAGAAGACGTTACAACAGCTGTAAAATGGTTCCAGTAACTGATCAAACTTCCGTTCGCAGATTCATAGCCCACATGACTCCCCGCTCCTCACACTCACTCAGATTCTTCTACTCACTCCGTCCTCCACAGCCACTCACACAGGGCCGCCCTGCTGTTCACAATCCACGCCCATGAACTTGACTTCTGGAGCACCTTTAGAAGTTACAGCAGAACACCAAAGTCATATCTGAGAATAATGAGGTTTTGTCTGAAGTTTCTATTTGATCATATTTACCCTTGAAAAAAACTGTTCCTAATTAAAGAACACAGAATTGGAAGTTAAATAATTTCTCTTTGAAAAGGGAAGTTTATTGCCTAATACTCTTTCAAGACATATGGATCAGTCACAAGTCTGGAAATTTTTTAATCTGTATTTGTGAGTTTTAGGAATTTCTACTGAGACTACATTTTCTACACTACACAAGTAATCTGCACACACAGTACTTTTGCTTCAGTGGTATTTGTAGCAATAATTTTTATCTAAACAATATTCAAAAGCCAAAAAAAGAAAAAAACTCCAAAAAGGTCTTTGTATTATTTCTTCTTTCAAACCACATTCTAAAGGTATGCTTTTCAAACTGAAGTTCACCATCTATTAGGAGGTCAGAAAATAGCTTAGTGGTATGTGTCTAATATTTTTAAAAATAACAATAAAACAGAAGATGCCAGCATGCATACATAGGAAAAACAGGTACTGCCTTGTTAAATTTTTGCTTATATGTATCTGAGAGAGACAGAGAGAGAAAGAGGGTGGGTGTGTGTGTGTGTGTGTGTGTGTGTAATGGGTTATTTCTTACTGTGGTCAAAAACTTGAAAGCCACTGGTGCATATGCTTCTGCCTGCCGGTGAATTCACCAGGTGCTAACAGCATTTATTCCTCCAAGAACTCTGGGTGAAGCTGCCCAAACCACAAGTAGGTGCTGCTCAGTCCTTTTATGGAAAAAAATTAGAGAAATCAAACAAGTCTAAATAATTCAAATAATTAAATAAAATACATGATCTCAATTACTGATGCTACATTTTGGGTTATAAGAAATTGATCTACCAATAACTCCACAACAGAGAAAGAAAATGTCCATTTCTTCCTTAATTCAGCATTCATCAGAATAATTACTGCCCTCTATAAAACTGAAGTGGAAGCAGTCTATAAATACCCTTCAGTTTTAGCCATGACGGTATTTAAGATGGAAAAAACAAAACAGCAAACCCCACACAGACATGCTTATAAACCAAATATGAAATCACTTTTTGTAAAACTTTAATTTCTAAGACATTTTAAAAGTCACACTGAAAGTATCTCATAGAAGCAAAGGCTAACAATTTGTAAACAAGACAATCTGTCAACAAAAATAACTAGTATGTCCAAATGTTATTTTAAAAAATTAACATTATACCAATTTTTTCAAGTTTAAAAAGTCAGTGCTGTATCTATGTTCACATTTTTTAAACAAACTTGTAAGAATTCTACCTTTACGCATTAAATAACATGCTACCAACCAAACAAGCATGTAAGGGTGTATAAATGATGAAAACCTGTTTCCCTGGCAGATGAGGTCATCACTGAGGCTGCCGAGAGGGCCACAGGCATCCAGCAGATTGTGGGGGGCCATGCTGCTGCCCAGAGCAGGCACAGGTGTGCCTTTAATGCGCCTGAGAGCAAAACGCGAGAGGCTCCATCCATCTCCACTCAGCAGCACCTGAGTGTAGCAATGTAAGGGGCTAACATTAGTGTATGATGATGTGTACAATTTTCACGTGAAGTGTCTTAGAGGTCTGTTTTTACAGAGAATGTACACAAAGCTACATAAATAGTAAATCTAAGAAGTATCTTGGAAAATCAGTAAAAATTAATACAAATGTTATAATCAGAAAACATAATTGTAAAACAATTTATTTAGGTATTGCAGAACCAATCAATAATAAATTGCAAAGCTTCCCCAAGAAGCTCTGGGACCATAGTGCCTAATGCCCTTGAAGAGACTGAAGGAAAGAGAATAAAACGACTGCTTGATTTAATGCAGTCACTGGTGCACCCCGTCCAGTTAGAAACGAAATTGTAGTTCCAGAGTGAATGATTCTGAGCATTTGGAGCTCTGGCCTTCCAGGGTCCATCTACTTCCTTTCACTGGTGCACAGGAACTGTAGGAGAATGAAGACCCCAGGGCGACTGTCCTTCCCAGGACGCAGAGTGTTTGCCCTCCTTATCCTGCCATCCATTTCTGGAGTTTGTCATATAGAGCAGCCTCCAACCTACGCCCAATGGAAGCACCTGCATTTGGAGTGAGTCTCTCAAGAGGCAGATGCCTGTGCATGTGACTAGCAAGCGCCTCGAGGAGCTGTGATTATGGAGCGGTCCGCGTCTGTAACAGTCTGTATGTGTTCTAAAAGGCATCTGAGTCCCCAGGTTCGAAACTGCCCTTCTACCCCTGACGTGCATCCTTTGCTTCCACAGCAGTGAGGACGCATCCAGTAAGTGTAAAACTTGATAATTCATTGTACTAGGTTTACAAACCCCAAACTGGTCCTCGGATGGAAAGAAACTTCCAAATGAACAAAGAGTTGCAATAGACATTGAAAAGTTTAATATTTCACTTAAAAATTTTCAGACATTTTACAAGTATCTAGGAACTCTTTGGATGTGCCCTGACACTGGGTAGTTAAAAGTGGTATTACTCTACTCCTGAGTTTCTTTCTGTTCTTCCCTTGACTTGGTCTGCTCAAAGTATGGATTCCAAGTTTCACTAAAAGTTAGACCCTGCAATTAATACTCCAATAAGCATAATTATCAATGAAATTGGAAAAGAGCTGAATTTTATTAACTTTCTAGGTATGTCAATCTTATGCTGAGAAATTCACCAGTACTACACTGGTGGTATTTACTGAACATTGTTTAGAATCCCAAAATGAATGTTCTTTTATTTTAAAACCAAGCTGCATTTTAGATAAATGTGAAGCTCAGAAGGAAATGCAGAGGGATAAATGAGGGGAAGTGTATGTACTCAATGAGGTTTATAAATATACAGATAAAAGTTTCTTATTTTGGTTTAAGTGGAAATTTCTGATGTCAAATAGACACAGCTTGTTTTTCAAAAATTTCTCCCAGAAAACCTTTACATTTAACAATTTGAAAAAAATCCTTTTGTCTGAACACAGACAATGTATTTCATACACATAGTGCATGTGAACATATTTCTATAGATTGCATAACTATGAATTGTGTGCCAATGGGCCCATCTTCTATTTTGCATGCACAGTTTTCGGTATTCTGTCCTAGCGGATGGTTAACACAGAGTGTAAGTTCATAGTTTTTATTCAGTAGACATAGCCAAGAAAGCATCCCAATAATTATGTACAATTTAATAACTGACTGATCATGTTTACGGCAAAACTATTCTTCCACCATGAATGCTGATGCTGTGAACTTTGGATGTTAACTGGAAAAACTTGGAGGCTTCAAAAGGCATATGCAAAAGTATAACCAAGCCTGAGGACTATGAGGAGAGAAGGCGTTTCTACCACCCGGCATTTGTAGTTTCCATAAGCATTACAGAAGCATGGGGAATCAAGTGATCTTTGAAAAAATGCTTTAAAAAACTGAGTATACATATAGCCTATAAGGCAAAAATCCAAGTTACAAGTGTATTAAACACTGGCAACTACGTTATCAGAGGTAATACTGAATTATATGCATAAACTGTCATTCAACTATGATTACATGACACTCCCTACCATAGCTTATTAGACTGTACAACAGAAGATATTCCTGTGGCTCTCTAAGGCTCTAGGTTTAAAAGAATTTAGTATTTTCCCCTTGGCTCAAAGTTTGATCAATATCATTCTGTAACAGAAATCAGAAACTATGCCTTTGCTTTTAAGGAAATAAAAAACATAACTGCCACCATTACCACTCCAACACACACACTGCAATAATGACATCTACAAGCAGTTCCTACTGCATTTGAAAAATGCATTTTCTGAAGAACCCTCACTTAATACCAAGGATGCCTTTCGGGTAGGCGTCTACATTCTGAATAAAGTATATAATGGGATTTAAGGAAATCTTTAGAAAGTCCCGGAGTTTGCCTTTTCTAACATTGTCATATCAGGTGAAAACAGTGTTTTCATAGGGATGACCGTATTTACCAATATGAGCAAATGTCTACAGAAGAATGTGCTGTTCTGTATGTCTCTAAGGAATCTGCGTTTAACTGGAAACTACAGGGTCTATCAGAAAGTGAAATTTAAAAAAGACCAGCCATGGCCAAGTTCTTCATAGATTATGAAAACAAAATGGCACAGATAGGCCTAGGATCTGAAGAGGAGCCAAGGTCGAAGTGGAAATGCTTCTACATGGGACAGGAATGTCATGAGTCTGGAGTTCGCGAGTCTCTTGGTTGCAGAAGACGCCAGCTGTGTGTCTCACAGTGCTTTCTGATGCCCATTTACAGAAGGCTTGGCTGTTTCTGAATCCCTTGAAGTATTTGATAAGTGAAGTTTATGAAGCCCTGCAAAAATTAAGAAAATGGTGAGAAATGATAGATTGCTGAGTGGCTGGGGAAGGGTGAGGGTAGGGAGAGGAGGAGACTGGCAAAGCTAAGTTGGATTTGGGAAGCTGTGAGGTGCTGCCCAGATCCCCCTGAGGAATGAAAGATTTCTTCTCCCTACTGGCAACCTCCCTTTGGGGATGGCCTAAGCCAAAGACAGCTGCAGGGCGGGAAGTCCTGCTGCTTCCAGGATAGCACAAGAGGGTCGTAAAAGTCTGCCCCCTCTTCTCAGTTCAGCGGAGCTCTGAAGGCTCACTGTAGCCACAGCATCCCCGAGGGCCAGCAGAGGCTTCTAGAGTGACTGCATCAGAGCACAGTTCTCTCTCTGCACAGCCCCTTCCTCCTTCCTTTCCCCAAGCCGGCTAATAAACCTCTTCCTGGCAAGCATATTCCCAGCTAAAGTGTGCTTCTCTGGGAACCTAACCCAAGACAGATATGTTCCCACTTTCATTTTTAAATACTGTATATACACACAGGCTGGGTGGGGTGGCTCACACCTGTAATCCCAGCACTTTAGGAGGCCAAGGTGGAAGGATCATTTGAGCTGAGGGGTTTCAGACAGGCATGGGCAACATAGTGAAACCCCACCTTCATGAAAAACAGAAAAATTAGCTGGTCACAGTGGCTCATGCCTATAATCCCTGCACTTTGGGAGGCCAAGGTGGGAGAATCGTTTGAGCCCAACAGGTTATAACTGCAGTGAGACGTGATCACACCACTGCACTCCAGCCTGGGTGACAGAATGAAACCCTCTGTCAAAAAAAATTTTAAATAAAGTAAAATAACACACACACACATGCAGGAAAATGTAGGGAAAGCCACACCAAAATATTCATATGTAATTAAAAAGAAAAGAATGGAAAACATTACCAAAAAAGAAAGAAATGACAAAAGAATAAATGGAACATAAATATCTCACTACCCAAAAGTATTTCACAGAATAAAAAATTTATCTTTTAAAGTTACACTGATTTCTCGCTCTATCATATAACAACTATTTACATAATATACCTGATACGCAGACCAACACTGCACTCTCACAGGGAGAAAAGGCAGAAGAAAATGTAAGAGCTGTGTGGCACTGGGGCTTCAAGCACTTTAATAAAAATAAAATACAATGACAGACAGGAACATGGTCAGGTGTTGCTGAACAACAGGAATACATTCTGAGAAATGGGTCATCAGGCAATTTTGTCATTGTGTACTGTCAGAGAGAGCATCTACACATACCCTGATGGCACAGCCCATGACATGCCTGGCCGCGTGGCATGGCCTACTGCTCCTAAGTTACAAACCAGACAGCATGTTACCGTGCTGCATACTGTAGGCAACTGTGGCACAATGGTAAATATTTGTGCATCTAAAAACATCTAAACCTAGAAAAGGTTACATTGTGCCATGACACTACAACAGCTAGCGGGTCATTAGGGGACAGAAATTGTTCAGCTCCATTACAATCTTCTGGGGACACTGGCATATAGGCAAGTGGTCTGTTACTGACCAAATGATCATGATGTGGCTTGCACTTCTACAGGACAGATTCTGAGAAAATACTTTTCATGAAGCGCAGACCTTTTTGGCATCTCAACAGCTTACTTCAAAAACATGTTTCTCCCTAAAATTTCACATGGTGATTGACCTGTTAGACAGTTTTACATCACTCATAACCACAGCACCCCAAATTTTTTTTTTTTTTTTTGAGACGGAGTTTCACTCATGTTACCCAGGCTGGAGTGCAATGGCGCGATCTCGGCTCACCGCAACCTCTGCCTCCTGGGTTCAGGCAATTCTCCTGCCCCAGCCTCCTGAGTAGCTGGGATTACAGGCACGCGCCACCATGCCCAGCTAATTTTTTGTATTTTTAGTAGAGACGGGGTTTCACCATGTTGACCAGGATGGTCTCGATCTCTTGACCTGGTGATCCACCCGCCTCGGCCTCCCAAAGTGCTGGGATTACAGGCATGAGCCACCGCGCCCGGCCGAGCACCCCAAATTTTAAACTCACTTGCATATCTTAATGAAAGAAAGGTAAAATTGAGCCTCTCTATGTTTGAATGGGAAGAAAAAAAAAAGAAATCAATCCAACACAAAAAATGGTGGTCTCAGGAATGACAATAGGAAGACACAGCTGTTGAAGTTGAGGAAGTGTGCTAAAATCAAGCTTGTCAGAAACGGGACTGAGTGAACACAGAGGATCAGTGAGGTATTCACTGACTGAGCTGAAATGAAGTCACCCTTTCCAGACAGACGGAGTTCACATCTCAAACTTGAGTGTCGCATATATTATGCATTCTAAAAAACTCCGATGTCTTTCTTCTACAGACAACTCCAGAAACAATCCCGTCATCACCACCATCACCACAGGTAAATCGCTAGTATTTACTATGTGCTCGTTATCTCTGAGATGGATACTATTATTATTAATGGGCAGAGCAGCAGAGGGGGAACAAACTACCAACAAAAAGATGAGAAAAGAAAATAAAGGGGACAGTTACTTTACAATCAGTGAAATCCTTCTTAAGATCTCAGGTCATTCAAACATTACATATACTTCATAAGACTCTTTTTCTACGTGTAAATTGTCCCTTAGAGCACCCCAAAGAATACTGAAAAGCATTTGGGAAGAAAAGTAAATCTATTAGGTAGTTTTATACAACTCTTGCTGATTCTACTATCTCCTATGGTCAATGAACTGACATACATATAAGGCCTTTTATATCAGGTTATCTTTTATTACTTTAATAAAGGCTTTCTTAGCCAAATGATGTCCAGAATACCTAATTCAAAAGCTAAACTTAAGGCAGTTCATTTGCAACCATCTCATTTAGTGAATGGAAAGTGGAAATTTATCTGAGACCACGGCTGACTAATCTTGCTGATATTATAACAGGCTTAAAAATTAAGTTTTAATGCTAGGCATCTGACAGAAAGGCCTGTTTGATTTCCACTTCAAGTTGGACCAGTTTTATTAACCCTAAGCATTAAACTGTATACATTATCTGGTGCATCAGCTGAAACAAGCGATGGCTTTTTCCTGTCAGGCCAGTGTTTCATGAGCCACCCTGTCCCAGGCATATTCAAAGTAAAACGCATATGGAGAGCTCTTCTGAAATCCTTTCTGCCTCCCAAAGGTCACCCGCTCAAACACCAAGGCTGGAAAGGCCTGGTGGTGTGAAATGCTTTATTGCTGCTCATATATTTTCAGTTACTTGAAAATTGGACCTTAATGAATCCATCAATATGTGGCCTTTTGTAATAGCTAAAAGCCCCAATATGGAGTCATAAGCATTCAAATGATGTCAACTCAGGTAAATGCACTAATGTCAGAATTTTTAAAAACTTTTCTACAAAATTCACTGCCCTTCCCTTCTTCTGTCATAAAATTACACACCCCCAAACCAAGATAATTTACACTGTCCTGATATTCTTAAAGTATAAAACTTGAAATATGTTTAGCACTAATGTGGAAATAAGCATAAAAAATATATTCATGGGTTACATTTGTGCCCTTTAATAAACCTGTTAAGAGTTTTTAACACCATTACAATATGGGTGACTCGTGGAACACACAATAGTAAATCCCTTCTCTTCTATTATATCAATGCCAAGAATGCTAATATTTTCATCTTGAATTATTATTTGGCTTACTGAACAGAATTGTGGGTCAGCCAAATACCTGTAAAATCCAAAGCCTCAAAAAAAGCTTTAACTAAAAGGTACAGTTAGCAAAAAATAAGCCACATCAACCTCACCACCACCATGACCACCACCGTCACAATAAAGGGGCTAAGATTTACTGAGTTCTTATGATGTGCCAGGCACTATGGGAAGGACCTTACAAGAATTATTTCAGTTGATCTTCACAAAAATCCTAAAAGGAAGATGCTGTTATCACTATATTACAGATAAAGAAGCTAAGGCCTACTGAAGTAATTTTGCACAAAATCATAGCAAGTAATGGATCAATAATCTGACCTGTAAGGTTTTACAAATTTAGGAAACTAAATAGCTGAAGATGTAATATTAACTCAAATGTCAAAATTATTATTTAGTAGAAAGAGGAAAAAATACCCATGAACCTCAGGATTACCTAGGGCCTTGAAAAGTTCTTCTCGAACTGCAGAGGTGAATTTTCGGACCAGACACAATGTTGTCACAATAGCAAAAAGCAAATTGTAGGATAATACAATATAGAAATTTCCCAGCCAATTAAACCTTCCAAAGTCTCCAAGCAGATCAAATCTAGTGATTCCTGTTAAAAATAAATAAAATAGCCCTTAATGAAATCAGGTAAGACATATTTAGTGTGTTACAAGTAAAGCACAAGTTCGATCAAATTCTATGTACATTCTCACTTCCGTTATGTGAGATGATCTAATGAATAAATCCTACTTTAAAATATGTAACTATTATCTATTGGGACAACCTCAAGCCAGCCCTAACCTCCTTCACATACACACCACAGTCACCTGCAAGTGATGAGTAATGAGGTCAGAATGATGAATGCCCTTTGCATATTCGATGGAACTCATGCTTACGTTAAAAATTAAGCTCTTGTGCTACTTCCACGGGCAGGATGGCTGACTGCATACGCTACTGAGACAGGATGGCGGTGACTGATCACAGGAAGCAAGGGTCATAATGAAAATATGCCGAGAACATCCGATCCTGCGCTGCTGCCACCCTCCGGAGGAAATGCCCGTCCCCTCTCTTCATTCGGGTCTCTGTGCAAATGCTATCTCCTTGGAGAGGAAACTCTGACTCCCCTACCTAAAACAGTCGGACCTTCTATGGCCTTCTATACTAATTATGACTCTTCATAGCACACATAACCTGAAATTTTTTTTCTGTTTTCCCCACTAGAATGTAGGTTCTGTAAGAATAGGAAGTTTGTTTCACCCCTATAATCCCAGTGCCTAGAACAATGTCTTATATGCACTTAATATATAGTGCACTATATATTAATACTTAATATTAGTATTATATAAATGAATAATAATTTCCTTCCATAAAAAATTGTTAATCTGAGTTTAATACTTATAGGCTTCTAGAGTAAAAGGGCAAAGCAGAAAATACAGTAGAATGATATAATATATGCATCGAAGTTACTTAAATTCACCTATACACATTTTTTTAAAAGTCTTTTTACTTAAATATAAGTTTAATATAAGTCATTCTACTAAATGAGTACATGGCCAGGTCCAGTTAAAAATATTTATAAAATATTTATATAAATATATTTATAATATAATAATATTTATTGGAAAAAATACATGAATGGTGAGATTTTTCTGACCACGGATAGATAAATAAATCACATCATTCAGGTGTCAGTCAAATGAGGGATAAAGGGAGTGTCAACATTCTTCAAGAAAGAAAGGAGAGAGCTACTTGGGGGCCATATAAAATTTAAATTACAAAGAATTAGAAGAAATAATAACAATCGTCTACGGGATTATAGATGCAAAATTATGTACCTCATATTTTAAGGGTGATTTAAGGATTTTATGGGTGATTTCAAGAATAACTTTAACTATACTCAATTTACATTATCAGTTGACCTTTGAACTGAACTCTCATCCTCACTCCAATATGATGCCATCATCTACTACAGGTAGCATCTACAAAAGCAGCTTAGAGAGATAATAAAAAACTAAATATAAACATTGTCATGAAAACAGGAGATCTCAAAAGTAGCTCTTCTGTAGTCACTTCTACCCAGGACAAATGATGAAACTGAGAGACAATAATATACCAAAATATTTTTTAAAGGTAGATGATTAATGAAAACATACAATAAAATAGCTTTTTTAAAGAGGTAAAAACTCAGACACCAGAAGAGTACACAGCATCGGTCACGCATGGTAATGATGATGATGGCAGCAGTTTCTCAGCTATTCACATTAATAAAACTTTACTTTGATAAAGGGAATACATGTCTAATTATAATTATAATAAAGTACCATCTCATTTAGCCTAGGAAGCAATCTTTAAACAAGATGTACTCCTACCAAAACAAGCTTCAGTGGCTTCAGCCCAGAGATCCCAGTTAAGTAATTGCATCATTAGAGCCAAAGACTCCTTTGAGAATCTGGTGAGAGATATGAATCTTCACACACAAAAAAACCCACAGACACAGACACCCAAAATTTTACACAGCATGAAGCTCATTGATGGAGGAAATGGGAAATCCCAGAATCAAACTCTTGCCCAGATGTTCTATACGAGTCTTATCTGCTCTTGAAATTTTTTTGCTCATGTACTACTATTAGTAAAAACAAAATTTGAGCATCTATACCCAATATATGTGTATTGAATTATTTATAAGCTACAAATACACTATCCAATGACATCTTATATACAGACAAAACAAATAATTTAGAAATCATTACAATAAACATAAATACAAGTTATAACATTTCCTTCACATAGTCCAATAACTTGCTTTGTGAATGCACGGAAATGCACAAACTCCACTTTGGAAAGCACTGGTTTATGGTCTGTGGTAGGTAACTGAACCACCCCTGGACATGGCCTGCGTCCTAGGTGTGACAACACTACCCTATGAGAGTGAAGTCAGGAAGCTGAATGCATCATCACGGTAAGGATGGAAGACATGTTATGAAAAACAGGAAAGTGCTTTCACTAGAACTTCTTAGTGGACTCAACTTGGTATCTCGAGACTCAGGATCAAGACCTAATATGGAACATCCAGGCAAAGAACAGTCTCTATCATCAGATGTTTTGGTTTTCAGGCTATTTCAGGTTGATTTCATAAACAGAAATCCAGGGGCCTGCTGCTATCGTGCGCTGAAGAACTAGACAGGTATTACTCCGTAAAAACTAGTTCCAAGACATCACTGTGTTGAACTCAGTATTTTTAAAAATTCGATAGATTGACTAACAGATTACTTCAACCAACATACACAGTTCTTCAATTCTGAATATTTTCTATAAAGACTGGACCACAAGAAACCTTAAAAAAAAAACTTCTCTAAAATTCTGCCTGAGAGGTTTCTGGCATGGCAGTAATTAGATTATAAAATGTACTTTTAAAATTAAAAGCACCAACAATTAAGAAAAAGTGACAATACTCAGACAAACCTTTACTAGCAATCATCTGACAAATGTAAAATACTTTAAAACTTATATTTCTGTAAAAAGGTAAGAGTATTTCAAAAGCAAATTTTAAAATATTTTAAAATACTACTAACTATAAGAAAGATCTAATGATCAAATGCTGTGGTTTAACTGCTTTAGTCAAATATTTAAATGCCTATGCCCATCTGGAAGTTCATTTTGTTAAAAGGTAAGCAAAATATACTCCAAGCAAGAAGCTTAGTAAAAGCCATGGCTAAGCATAAGGTCACATTATCTAGATGATCGGTCAATTTAAAAAATTCTTCATGACAAGCTGCACATCAGCTCCCCCGACTACAATTCAACTGAAAATATTTTATGCATAATTCCTTGAATAATGATCTTTTTCTATTCATACCTAAAAAAGAACATACAGAATAAAATCTCGTTTAAGAAAGGGCTGGTTTCTCCACCTACAATATTAGTCAATGGAATTTATGTTTTTGTTTGTTTGTTTGTTTGTTTTGAGACGGAGTTTCGCTCTCGTTGCCCAGGCTGGAGTGCAATGGTGCGATCTCGGCTCACCGCAACCTCCGCTTCCTGGGTTCAGGCAATTCTCCTGCCTCAGCCTCCTGAGTAGCTGGGATTACAGGCATGCGCCAACATGCCCAGCTGATTTTTTGTATTTTTAGTAGAGATGGGATTTCACCATGTTGACCAGGATGGTCTCGATCTCTTGACCTCGTGATCCACCCGCCTCGGCCTCCCAAAGTGCTGGGATTACAGGCGTGAGCCACCGCGCCTGGCGGAATTTATGTTCTTGAGCCCACCTGAGTAAACTTCTACTTTTAGCAAGCCTATTCATCTTCCTAAAGCAGCAAAACATAGTTAGGAGAGAGTTTACAAAGCTTGACACATAAAGGGATCATTAATGTGACTTTATCAATAAATTATCTATGTTGGCATATTACACAAACAGCTGACATGAATATCCATGGCTTTAATGTAAGATTACCAGAAAGAACACATACATCTCGTTATTTAAAACAAACAAACAAACAAACAAAAAACATAGATTAAACATTCTTTGCTGAAATATCAGGATTATCATACTTTTTTCCTTCTGAACTCAAACAAAGGTTAGATTAAATTCTTATACTGTTTTCAGATCTCTTCCTCTAAACCAGACTTTTGAAATAATACTAAGACAGTGTTGAGGGAGGAAAAATTGGTAAAGAGTATGAAATAATAAAATCTACAATCATTTTAAAACAGGATAATTTAAATAGGTTCATTGCCAATTGTTTTACTCATTCAAAAACGAAGTCATTGTAAAACGAAAGAGGCTCCACTTCTGGGATAGAATGAAAGACAATGCTGTCGGAGCAAAGACTTCACCTTTTTTTTTTTTTTTTTTTTTTGAGACGGAGTTTTGTGCTTGTTGCCCAGGCTGGAGTGCAATGGCGTGATCTCAGCTCACTGCAACCAAGGCCTCCTGGGTTCAAGTAATTCTCCTGCCTCAGCCTCCCAAGTAGCTGAGGTTACAGCCGCCCACCATCACGCCCAGCTAATTTTTGTATTTTTAGTAGAAATGGGGTTTCACCATGTTGGCCAGGCTGGTTTCGAACTCTTGACCACATGATTTGCCCACCTCGGCCTCCCAAAGTGCTGGGATTACAGATGTGAGCCACTACGCCCAGCTGACTTTACCTTTTGACTAGTCTTACTGTGCAAGTATATTTTTCATGAAATTATATCAACTAGAGATATTGACTTCCAGTGCCAGCCTATGCGGAGTAAAAGAGACCAGATTTTCACTCCCAACTGAATAAACTAAAATACTGAACAAAGTACACAAAACAACAGTTTTCAAGACCCTAGATATCAGGAAATGAAGGACAGTGACCAATGAGAGATGAGAAACAAAGAAGGTGGGTCCTGTGATTGCCACAGTTTACTGCCTAAAGAGAGACTGCAGTGTAGAGAGAAGAGCAGAGGCGGGCTCCAGCCATCTCACTAAGTTGCTGAGATGCAGGTTGGAGCATAAGGATGACACAGCGGCCAGAGGGCTGCACAAAGGAAGAACCTGGCAGAGAACTGATGAGCACATGCTTGTGGGGAGCAACTAATCAAGAAATGAAGCAGGTGACAGAATGAATAGCAAAGACATTA